CCTAACATATCTTACACTTAAATAAATAACTACTAGTTATTAAAAAGTTTTTTTTCCCCTCCCTTTTGTCATGTCTTATCTTGCCTGGTGCACCAAGTGAACCAGAACTGCCAGTTCAAACAAAAAAAACAGGTGCATGATGCCTCTGAAAGCACCAGCTGGTTTTCTAAAGAACTAGAGAATGAAAGTCACATGTGAATCTTTAAAAGATTCTCCAATACAATCAGGCAATAAAACACTTTGGATTTGAATCATAACTAAGTGTATGTGAGCGAGAAAAAACGCTAAACCTACAGACAGTGAAAAAGGAGAAGCACAGGTGCGTCAGCTCCAGGAGGTTTGTTAGAAAGGAAGAGTGCGGTACACAGCTTGGCATCCATGCTTCGTTAGGCACAGCAGTGCAAATTCATTTCTTACACGCTCTCACCTCCATCTTGCTCAAGGTGTCCCAGACAGGACACACTCACTCTTTATTGATTTAAAAATGAAAGTCATATCTGTTATTTCCCTCATCAGTGGAGACAGGCTGGTGAATGGCAAACGTCATAACTAAACCGTCTGTTTTGATTCCGCTAGCTGATAGCATATGAAATAAAAGCATACAAAGCTGCACGGGATTGACTCAGTCGGAGCGCAATCTGTCACCCTCCCCCAAAATAGGCAGCTGCCAGCAGCCTGGCACATCCACATCCAAACGCTTCACAACTTCATCTTTTTGTAATTCTAGCTGAACGTCGCAGAGTAGCGGTGGGTTATTTCTCTGCCCGCAGTTATGGTGTTCCCAGGGTGGTGTCCAAATTCTAATTGGAACTTATGTAGGAAGCATCGGTACTGTTTAGATTGTGCATTTTTATCCCATTCTTAATGTTTTGCTATATGAAAAATGACATCATTTTTCAGTGTTTAGGTATTTATGAATGTAAGCAGTTTTAGGGTTTCATTTATAATTAAAATAACCATCATTCTCAAGTATTATTTTCTTTGTACAGAAAAGATTTAAAGGGATAGTTCACCCAAAAATGAAAATTCTGTCATCA